TGTAATCAGTACAGACCTTTGTACGTTCAAATAAAGCTCCCGTTAGCCGATCCATTTCGTCATTGTCTCGCCGAGCGAAAATACTGCCGGCAAACATGACAGCTTGGTATAGTAGTGGTGAATTGAATTGAGCATCATCTCCAACTATAACTTTTGAGAGAAAATCCCCAAGATCAAGAATTGGTAAGAGCGGATGAACATATTTGACATACGCCGCCAATAGCTCGTTGCGCAAGGCTGGTGGCAAGAGCTGCAGAGCTCCTTTCCTAAGCAAATACTCACTGTCCTCAGGTGAGACCGTTGGGAGTCGAGTTCGAAATTTACGGTCCGGTCTTGTAACATTTCCCTTGCTCGGAGCCAAATAGGAGACTGGCTGCTCGAGAAGTCCCTCAATATCTGAGAGAAGATTGTCAAGAGGATAGGTAGACAGAACATCAGGCTTGATGGCGATGTGTGGTTGACCTGATATAGCTTTGGTCCCTGACACCAGTAACTGGGAAAGAGATTCTATGAAGACTGGTGAGTAAGTGCGGCAGACAGCATAACTGGTTACCTACCCCCGTCGAAGAAACCATTGCTCTCCCAATCATCCACACTGGCGGGACTCTCTGTGTGGGGAATGGAAATTCCAGCATGGGTCCCACTAGAGTCCGAGCATGGCGAAGACGAGGCATTGGTGTCAGGAGAGGAGGCCGTCTTTGGACTAGTTGATGACCTTCTGAGTGCCCTGTAACATACAATTGTCAAAATCCTTTCTCAAGCTCCAACAATATTCCATTGTATACAAAGAGCAGCCAATGACTCTTGGCTACCAATACGCACGGAAAGCTGGACGGAAAATACCTTCGCGATTTCGTGTAGACACACTTCAAGTTTCTCAAATTGCATCTGCGACACAGAGTCGCTCCTCGTGTTAGTTCGCATCGTACCTTTGAGCTCCGACATGCAAGGCAAGCGAGTAGAGGCCGCTGCGTCACACGACTACAAACCTGAGGTCGAGGGCAACTCTCCATGTCGGATATTTATTCCTGGATTGCTCCACTGAAACTTGACCAAGAATTTACGGTCCAGACAGGCCATCGACGGGTGCAAGAAGTAAATATGGAATAACAATCGCATCCCTTTCATGACCGAGTTCCTAACCTGGCTCAAGATTAAGCCACCGGACATGTGCAGGAAGCTCATCTTTTCCGGCGGCAATTTGGTCTTCCCCACCAGGATCCACATTCTCACCAGCTTCAACGCCGCGGAACACCAAGGATCACAAATGATTTGTCAATCCAGTGGTGAACCGGACGATCGGCCTGCCAAGTGCGTAGCCTACCTAGTCTAGACTGAGCTTCTCGACTTTCCCCCGCGCTAGCTTTCTGGGGGTTTCGAAGATCATAATCGTTAAACCAAGGCGTATTGCTGTACACACGAAACAGTGGCAATTTTATGTATTTATAGTGTATGTATTTGAGATCCATTGAGCTTGAAGAAAACCGTCTTAGCAAATTGATCGAGCGAGATTGTCTCATGCGTCTTCCAAGTAGTCGAATGGCTGTTGTGAAACAGAAACCCGACGATGCGGAGTCCGAGTAATCCGGGCTCAGGGGTTTTTGGCGGTCACCACCGTTATCTCCACCGGAAAGATAGCCACCGGAACTATCACACCAACCCATGGATCCCGTGACCCCAATTATCCGGCGGCTTGCCACATACCATTGAACTCCGCGGCCATTGTTGCTACTGTGGCCATAAGCCATTCTGCGTGGTTACATATGAGCATACTAAATAGCAATTCAACTATCGCGATGCTTGCCCTTTCAGGTCTCTTTTTAGGCTTTGGCTTGGCCCCAGGAAATGTCAGCGAGCTACCAGGCGGTACTGATCACGATGACTCCCGCGCGCTCTTTTGGCTAGGGAAATGTTCGGCCCCAGTTCCACGTACTGTTTTGATCATCAGGGACCAAGTTAAACATGGCTATGCATAAGGTCAGTCAAAATCCGAATTGTGTCTTGGGGGATCAAGGGTCATTACATTCTCCAAATGCACCAAATGTATCGTCCAGCTGTTGAAAGGCCTGGGCAGGGAGGAAATCATATGGTCCCATTACGGCAGGAGGGACATTATATTCTGTGTCCCAGGAACCTTGGACAGTATCTACAGCGGCCTGCACTGCGGGTCCGTGAATTGTCCTGGAGCGCCCTGCACTCAAGGAGTCGTTCGAGCGGCCGTCAACCCCAGAACCGGTTAATCGCGTGTCAGAAGGGCAATTTGTTTCGATATTATCAGCCAAGGCATGTGTTATCTCGCGCTGAGTGGTAACTTTCAGCAGCTCCGTCAGAAGCTGTTCAGTTTGCCTTGCTATTCGATCGTGGCTCTTGAGACTTCGACTAGCGCGAATTATTCTTACCACCCCATCCTTTGCCTCGTGAGCGGTGGCCGTTAAAGGTTTCACAGTTGGAGGTATGCAGAGTATCACACCAGCAGTAAATTTTGTCATGGATACAACTGCTATAGCGAAGTGATTCTTTAATGTGTGAACTGGCACACAAGATATGCGAAGGGCAGCAGCTGTGGCTCGGTCTAGCGCCCTATGCATCGCATCCATGATCGCCCGCGAAGATGTTAGCCTGTTGATTCTTCGCTCCAACAGCGGTCTATTTGCTTGTATGACCATGCCATCATACGTCAACTGAAGAACAGCAGCCTGTAGATAGATTGTCTCCACCTGCTGCCTTGCTTGGGGCGGAAGCGTTTGCAGCTGCCCTTCAACGGTTTCCCAGCGACCATCTGCTTTCCAATAGTCAAAGTCATATAATTTCGGGACGGCTTTCCACCAGTCAGTGAGAAGAGCGTTCGACTCCTCGGTAATATGAATGATAGCTTCCAAGTTCTGTTCCTCTAGTCCAGATGTCAGGTCAAGCCGACGGAAGCGGATAAGAATTTCGCGAGCAATCGCATACACATCTGTCTTTAAGACGTGAAATGGGGCGCGCGACGTTATTCCGTCGCTGTTCTCCACCGACAGATTAGTGAGCAGGGAGTAGTCAAAGACCAGGTCGTCGACGAGCTGTAGATGACGAACGTTGGCCGAAGGCAGAGAAGCAGGGCGCCCATAGAGAATGGAGCAAAATGTATCCGAAACGATGATCTGGTTCCAACAACGAGAGCGTGTCTCATTAGCGATAGAAGGTTGCGACGATGTGCTTGTTTCTTGAAGATTGAGGGCATATGCAGCTCTGAAAGCCATGCCACACGTGGTCCAGGCCATATTTGGAGAGCTGTGGAACATGTAATAGCAACAGAGTAGAAGACAGACTTGCACTCCTTCTATACGGCGGTCCTCCAAGATGTCAAGCACACGGGAACGAATCTCTGTCAGAAATTTGTTCAGCAAATCCTGGGCATCAATTGAATGCCTGGATAGAAGGATATGACCAGGCCAATCTGCGTCGGGGAGGACTGATTGTAAGCTGATAACAGCGACAGCAAGCACCGTCATGACTGCACCAAGATCCCGGCGTTGCCATTGATGCTGAGAGATAATTGGCTGGGCCATTTCTCTAAATGACGGCTCATGGAGTACCAAGATAAACCACTGCATTCGGTCAAAGTAGGCGTTGATCAATGCAAGCATCACAGTCGTTGGGGGCATGGGCGTCTCTTTCAGACCCCATAGTGAGTTATCAGCACCCATCATGCCAACATCACCCGGCACAGCAGCTTCAGTCAAGGTCCGGCCTGTCTCCTCCTCGTTATAAACCTGCCTGGCAAAACCAATCGCCGAAGTACCAGTGGCATACTGTTGGTGGTGGTCCTCGGACGCTCTTCTCGGTAAGACCTGCGGTGTATCAGATCCGGCGGAAGCCGCTGGGGTGGCCGGTGCCTGATATTCAGAAACACGACGACGTGATGCTGTGGTTGTCTCGCATTTGTGACCAGCACGAGTGCATAGTACACACGGACGAACTGAGTCACACTAGAAAAGATAAGAATCGCTCACAGCTGCTCATGTCTAAATGTGGGAGCCTACCTTGAGCTTTTGTCGGCGACAACGGTCGCAAGCCTTGGATATTCGCGACCGAGTCGACCTACTGGAGGCTTTCTGCATGTAGCAATCAGAGCGGTGGCTGAAGGATACGTCAGAAGCGAGAAGATCAATCTATGAGTTTCCTGGGCTGTATTGCATAGAATCCGGGGTAGTGGAGAGAATGTGTTCGTGTTTGCCGGTGGAAAACAACGAGAATGTGCGGGGAAGAATGAAGCCCGCCAATGAACCTGCGGCTGGGGCCGCCACGTGCGGGGAGTCAGGACGTAAGGCCATAAGGCTACAAGGCCACAACATCATCAAGGCCTAAAGGCATTAAGGCTGTAAGGCGATAAGGCATCAACTCGGGAAAAGGTTACAACCTGTCAAACAAATCAACAACATCAGCATTAACAAACAATTGACCTCCTTTTGCAAAAGCTTATCCGTGTGGATTGGATCCGCCTCACCATCAATCTGCTGTGCGCGCTTCGCCCTCTCAGCAAAACAACGGCGTGTAAGCAATGTTGCTATTTCAGTCATTCGCGACATTTTACGAATTGGTCTAGCAGTAAAACACTGCTCAGTCTGCTCATCACTTGTTGATCAGCCAGCTACCCAACCCAGGGACAACGGAAAGAAGATAATTTCTCATTCTCCAGGACACCGTCGACCGACTAGTGATCTAAGCGATATGTATGGTGGAAATCGTTTTGGCCCCAGCAGCGATGATTACTGGAGCCACTAGACCGTGGCCGTCCTGCCGCGCCTCCTCGGTTTCGGTTTCGCTGCTTAATTGACATAGGGCTATGTCACATGAGATATCCCAGTAGTAATATCGTAGTTATAAAGGATGGTAGAACCCTTTGCTCGAGAGATAGATATTCATTTCTTATATCCATCCTTATCATCACAGTTGCATTCTCAACTTTACACTTCATCATTGTTGTATCAGCTAATAGTTCCAACGCTAGATCAAACACAATGTCCGCAACTGAACACCTTGACGCCGCCAACTTGGCCGTCTATGCTCTCTTCTCTCTCCCAGCAATCTACTGTCTTGTCGTGCATGACAAACATGGCCTCGTCGGCTGGGCTTACGTTCTCGCCATGTGTGGTCTGCGCATAGCCGGCAGCGCAATGTCCCTCAACGCTATCCACCATGACCAAGTCAACACAACAGCTGCGATCCTCAACGGCATTGGCCTATCCCCTCTTCTTATGGCTGCTATGGGTCTGCTCCATGAAGCGTATGTATCCTTCTTAGGAACCCTATTTCACAACTAACCACCTTACAGAAACCATTCCATCCACCGCTTTCTCCCTCCTTTCCTAGAACTCTGGGGATTCCTCATCACACACATGGTTGTCGCTGGTGGTATCGGTCTTGCCGCAGCTAGTAGTGGAAACGAGACACTTCTTCGCGTTGGGATGGTTGTCTTTGCGACAGGATGGACCTTGGTAGCTGTTCTGATTTGGTTCTCATACGGGGCTAATGCCCATAGCCGTCGACTGGGAGAGGAGAGACAGGTTAGTATCTCTTCATTCTTGTATTGAGATCAAGTCACTAACAGTCACAGCTTCTCTCCGCTATCACTGTCGCCATGCCTTTGATCGGTGTTCGCATCATCTACGCCATTGTAACCGCGTTTACCAGTTCCAATCTCGAGGGTGGCAGTCTGGCCGTGCGGGTCATCTTCGGTACCATTCCGGAGTACCTCGTCTTGCTCATCTACGTGGGAGTCGGTATCGTCACTCGCAACCTGGCACGCAATCGTGTCGAATACATCTAGCCGAAGAACCAGGCCGAAGTGCCCGTCTGATCACTCTAACGACTCGTTTACGATCCTTAATGTATATATAGACTACCTGAATATAATTCCCATCATTCCCATAAAATCATAATCATAACACTACCTCATCATTAACATTCACCTCCCCCTTAACCACCCCCATCGGCCACCTCATAACCCCCCTCCACACCTCCGGCAAAATAGACTCAATCCCACGAACCTCCATCTCGGGTATGCCCCTCAACCACCACACCCCGTCCGCACCCTTAGCCAACGCAAACAAATATGCTAGAATAACCAACGCCCTAGGCCTCAGCTCACTCACCAGCCCCAAAAACCCCCCGGGAACCATACTAGGAAACGACGAAAACCTCTTCCGAATATCATAGCCGGACTCTCCCATCCTAACCGCCATTAACAACCCCTCCAAATACCCAACACACTGCACATATACCCCCATCACTTCTTCCTCCTCCTTTTCCTCACTACCAGGGAGCATATATACCAAGAATCTCAACTCCCCACTACTCCCCTTAGGCCCCCCATCCTGCACCTCCACATCCCCCCGATGCACAACCGGCCTGGCAACTAACAACGGCGCAATCCGTGCCCTCTCTTCCACAAGCCGATAATACACCATCGACACGACCGTCCTCACCCCACGGGCCATATTCAACCACAAGTTCGGAGGCTCGTACTCACCCCCTCCTCCTGCACCACCATCCACCCTGCACGCAAGCGTATACAACGAGATCAAAATCGCATTCATGCACAGCGTCTCCGTAACACCCGCCCCCGGGGAAGACAAAGCCAACTTCGCCGTCTCAGCCCTATGTCCCCCAATCGCCTGAGCAATAAACCCGCCCTGAACACGTCTTAACTCCTCCGCTTCATGGGGCACAAGCCGTGCGTGATGCGCCGCAGCCACAGCGAGCAGCGTAGACAGGAGGGGCTGGTACTCAAAGGCCATTTCGGGAACGGAGAGTTCCCACATTTCGCGCACAGAGGGGAGCTGTGCGGTGCCCATTGTGTGTGAGGTTGAGGTGATGTAGAGGTGGAGCAGGCGGAGGGAGGTGGTGTTTAGAGGGGTTAGGTGGGGGGCTTGCAGGTTGGAGGTGTATGGTGAGGGGATGGGGATGGGTAGGGATAGGGATGCGGATGTAGATGTAGACGTGGGTGAGAATAGGAGGGTTGTGGTGGTGGTAGTGCTGGCTGTGCTTGTGCTTCTATTCCTAGCAGTATCATCTCGGTAAGTGTATATGCGTGGCTCGAAAGGCGCATATTCGCAGGGGAGGTTGTGACGATCGCAGTGCTGGCATTTGGGGCGGGTTTCGCTGCACTGTGTTTTTGTAAGAGGGTCCACATTAACGCAGTGCTTCGGGTAGGTACCGAGTCGTTATGAGAAATTGATCCTTGCGGTGGGGTGGAAAAGAGGGTTTGGTTGATTACCTTCACTTTTCTCGCTTTGCACCGCCGACATCCGCGGGTGGATTTGCGGTGGTTGAGTCGTGGGGGCATGACTAGTAGTTTGACTGATTCGATTAGAAGTGCAGCACAGATGCAGATGTGCTGTGCAGGTGCAGGGGCAATCTCGGATTCGGGTAGGTAGTCAGGAAAGGTGTTTGCAGGAATAGGGTCCAAGGGGATATCAGAGCTTGATTTATCTTAGCTTATCTTTAGTGAATTGGGCTGTGTCAGGCTGTGCAGTGCCCACTCTGTTTCCACTAATGAGCACTGATGAGCCGCATTTTGGGGGCGGATTCGGATCCTTCAACTTGTAGGGTTAGTGTTAGCATTACCGCTTCAGGTAGAGATCGTCGAGTGTTTGGGAGATAAAGAATGAATGTTTTTCCCAAGTCGATAGGGTTCTGCATCATCAACAACATCATCTAGCTTTCAATTGCATTCAAAACCTTCATCGCAATCCATTACTCCTCTTTCCTACCAATCAGTCAATACATAATCAAAATGGGTCTCATCAAAACTGGTATCCAACTCGCCGGTGCTTACGGCCTCCTCAAGGCCGGGTCCAAGTATGTTATCGTACTCATGCATCGTTGCGGGTCGTCAGATCTTTATACTTATACTCCATCCCTAGGGCTGCCAATGAATTCCAAGACAAGAAGCAATCCAACCAGAACCAGAATCATCAATGCTCCTGCTGCCATCACCATCAGCTACCTCCCCACCCTCAGCTGTTCCCTCCCCACCAACAAGCTCCCCTCCAGCAAGTCCCCCACCATGAGTACGGATACAACAACAACGCCCAGATGTACTCCCCTCAGGGTGGACCTCAGTACACGAACAATGGACCCCATTATGCCAACCCCGGGCCGCAATATCAGCATCCTCCCGTCCACTACCACGAGGGACACGCGCCGATACAGCGGCCCGAGCAGCAGCGGCCGCAGCAGGCTCATCAGCATCCTGAGTGGCGCTAGAGAGAAGCTTCAGAGGGGAGTTTGGTTTGGGGGCTTTTGTGTTTACCTTTTGGTGGAGCGGGTTACGGGCATGGTTCTATTGAGCGAGATGTTGTTTGGATTCCCCTGTATACACGCATTATAGACTATGATTGCATGTAATTAAATATAGAGAGCGCTATTCATTAAACATATCTTGTACCATCATATTCTCCCAGTAAAGATGGATGTCGAATTTACTCTTGGTACACTGGTGGCTCTGCACTTGCTGGCCAGTGCTCCAGTCGCTCAAACTCCGCCATCGGCACATCATACCCCAGGTGCCGCTTCAGTAGTTCATGCGTGACATAACGCTCCGGCGTATTGCCCTGTGCATCCACAAACGAGACATGTGGATTCACTTCGCTGATCCTTTGCAGCTCGTTAGCGTGCCGGTGGTGGTGCGGACACCCGTCCACTCCAATCAGAAAGATGGTGACATGGACCCAAGAGAGACCCAGCAGATCAAGTTCAAACTCATCCATGTCTGTTGCTTCGCCATCAAGTAACAGTAGCAATCTCAGCATTGGTGTTCGCGGGCCTGCTTGCCAGCCATAGACAGGGTGGTAGGTAGCGGATTCTGAATGTCTCTGGAAATGCAGATCCTTGATTTTTTGCCATCCGGTCATGACGCGTGTTCCTCCCCCTAACTTGACATTTCTCCACATATCGTTGAAGTTCGAGTGATTGATAAACCCAATATAATCAGCCTTGTTTGCAAAGGTAACGAGCTGGTATCCATGAAGATTCTGGTCATGGATGGACATTGCATCCGTGAATCGGCGGATGATTGCTTTGGCAACATCTATGATACTAAGTCAAATGGTGTGATCGATGAAGAGAGGGACTCACGTACCCTTGTTCTTAGGTTGATTAGAACGGGCGAACCCGGTGACTAGGTATTGAGTGTAAAGTGGTCGTAGAGGGTCAAAGTCCATTGATCCAGACACGTCCAGTAAGATCATCGTATTGTCAGTAGCTGTTTCGGGGAGGTCAAATGGTGTAAATGGAGGCGGCATCACCTGCAGGGAGTAACTCTCTGGCAAACGCTGAAGGCGGAAGGTATCATCCATGGAGTAGTAAGCCGGGGGTGGCTCAACGGCTGTGGCCATTCTCGCACGAGCCATCTCCAGAGCGGATATCATATCTGGCTTCATGCGAGGTCCCGTGTTTCCCTCTCGATGGTTCAAGACCCAATAGAGCCGCTCCTCGGCCGTATTCTCGTACCCTCTCCAAGCCGGAGTAATGCCTCTCCACCCAGAAAGTCCCTCGATGCGAAACTTCAAGGGGTTTGATGCACGAGTTGCCCAAGCTATTGGGATGGGCTCAAAGTATCCTGCTCGAAGCAGATGCAAATACTGAATCGGGCGTTTGGCTCGTAACTCGGCGATTTTCTGCTTCATGCCAACCTTTTCTTGGTAGGCGGCTACGATTTTCCGCCACTCTAAGTCTGGCCAACGACCAATTTCCTCCTCCAGAATTTCCCGTCGAAGCTTTCGGGCGCGAGTAAACATTTCTTCTGTTTTGGAGCTTGATCTGTTCAATGATGAGATGGACAGAGCCCGCCTAAAATTCGATAACTTGGACGATTTCAATGGCCCTATGCTGCTTGCTGCGGGAGCACTTTTGTTTTCTACGGGGCTTGAGGTAGCGGAGCCGTTGTCCGGTTCATCTAATGCCCAGATATCGCATTGTGGCTCCATAGCATCGATTGTGGCCTGTGCCTTGTTGTTCAGTGTCACATTCAGGGCAATGGTCTGCCGAACGGAGTTGGTGTATCGTGTTGCATCTGGACGTTGTAAAGTTGTGTATGCAATACCATACGCTGAGGGGATCCGGATATAGGGATTATTTGAGAAAACAGACGACTGGTAACAATCGTGATAGGCCTTCTCTCCTATTCTCCGCCATAGTCAGGGCATTAGTCCCTGCGGTATCTTTGAACCCAAGGGTGACGGTACGAACCGGGATACATCACTGCTTTGGACCACATCTCCTGCACATCGAGGCGTGCAACTTTCCTGCGCTGGTATTGATGAATTTCGCACGTACAGGCCATGAACTCACTGGCTTCATGTTCCGGCTCAATGTCGGTGTTGTAAATTTGGCACTTTATTTGGATTTCCAGGAGCATGTTCTGCATTTCTTGCTAAATGACCGATGATGTTAGATGAGTCGCACATGTGCCGACGTCGAGGCGTACCTCATCCCGAGCTCGAACATCCCCAGCTTCGGTGACAACATTCTTGTGAGAGGAACGTTCTGTTCCGTTCACGGAGCTAATGTGCAATTCATATGATGGGGGTAATGCTCCCATGTCAGCATGATCGCTTTGGAGCCTCAAGTCGGGCCTGCTAGCAGCTGCGACATTTGAGTATCTATGCGGGTTCTCGTAGAACCGATCAAGGGCCTCATCGAAAGAGCTCGCTTCCTTTGGTGTGCAAAGTCAGTCACATGACTAATTTTTGGGCTGCTTGTGATGTATACCTGCAAGAAAATAAGAGCCTTCCCTTCAGTAGCCTCGGGGGCGATGGAGATGAACTTGGCGATATCGTCTGTTGATGGCAACATGGTGACGGTGCCAAAGGGTACGTTGAGATGTTTGAACGACAGCTGTAGGCATGGGTGAGGAAGACTAACATTAATTCAATTTCCCCTCCTGTCAGCCTCAGCGTGCGGTATTTATCTCTGCTGATGGAGGGTTATCATGGATAGGCAAAGGCTCGGAATGCGGAGATGGCCCGGGCGCCGCTGGCCTCCGCACCGCAGATTGGCTGGTGCATTGAGGTTTATCGTGACTAAAATGGCGCTATATTCGCCAAGTGAGCTTGCGTGAGATATTAGACTCGAACGAATCAATTAGAGTTCGCTATCTTTGTGAACTCCAATTAGCGCCTGGGGATTGATGAGACTGTCAAATTGTCGTTAGGTATGCTCATTGAACCTTGGTACCTTCCAGTGTAGAAAATTGGAAGCGCTTTCGCTGCTTGAGTCGCACGAGAACCAGAAGATTGCTGCAGCGACATCTAATTAGTACAGTTTAGTTCCAGTGGTTTCAGCAATGATATATCGTAGATCCCTTGGTCAGTGACACATCCATGTGAAGTGACAGATGACGCGGAATATTGATTGCATGGGGTGATAAGAAACGGAAGACGGGAAGGAATAGCGACGGCATCCACGTGCAGCAAGTGATCACTTGACAGACGGGGGTTTTCTCCATTATCACAAGTCAGCGAGGAATGATGGGGAATCTTCGATCCCAACGAAACCAAATCGCCGATTGTCTTCAGAACTGCTAGAAGTACTACCTATTAATTCGGGATGGTAGTTGTGAGTATCATTCCTGGGTCTCCAGCGATATATAAATTTATATATAAACTCCTTTAGTAGTATCTATGACATTCATGGATTCTCTGCATGAGATAGTTCAAGACTGCAGATGACGGTAGAAGGATTATGCGTGAACCGACCACTCACTACTTTAGTCAAGATTGAATTAGAATCCCAATTGAAATCCGTCCTGATATGTGCAAAGCCATGGGAGGGCTGGTCGCAACCCAGGGCGCGTAATTGAGAGCCTGAGGCAGCCAGTGCAAACCCAACAAAACACGTGCCAGGAACTAGCCAATCAGGGAACGGCAAACAGACCAGTCACGGTCCAGACCCGGGCGGGCTTAGCGTGTCAAAGCGGCCTCCCCTAAGGAAAAAAAAAGAGGCAAAAAAAGAGGGACGCCGATATAAATTTGAAAATTTCCCCTCCTTGACAATCTTCCCCCACATCATAACACCGATCTCTTTCTTACTCTACTCCTATTTACTAACCACCACATTCATCATGGGAAACGTAAGCATCTCGCTATTACTGACTCTACGCGAAGTCCTTCCTCCTAGAGTGAAGCGACCAGCGACTTGATTGCGCCTTATCAGACTTAACATGAAAATCATCCACAGGGAGCCAAAGCCGCCACCAAGCGCGAGCGCAACGCCAAGGACACCAAGGCTGGTGGCAAGTCGCAGCTGAAGACCGTATGTATCCTCTATTTGTTGTTTTTATTGATTGTTTGAATCTTGAAGAAGAAGGGGGTAGCTTTTGTAGGGTGGTGTCACGATCTGTGTAGAGAGAGAGAGAGAAATGTATAGGTGTGGAAGTGAAATTGAAATCTCCCGACAATCATGCTTACGCAGGGACTACAGAACGAAGCTGCAAAGGATATTATCTGCATGACTTGCAGGTCGACTTTCCTCAAGACTACTCGTGCTCCGGCCTTGACTGAACATGCTGCCAACAAGCACAACAAGACCCTGCAGGACTGCTTCCCCGGCTTCGTGGAGGCGCCTAAGAAATGATGGGAGAGACAGATTGAACGGACTGAAAAATTGTTACGAAGCCATGTGTGTATCTGACTTAGCCTATCAAAGTGGCATTTTGAGCGATGTTCATCATCCCGCTAGTTACAGTAAGAATATGATGTGAAGACTACATCGAAAAGGAACAAAGAAAGGGAAATTGTCAACAATTTCATATGTATGCACAATAGGGGGCTGTACATTACATGACTAAGCATATGCATGTGTATAACCCCCCCCCGGCTATCAGCAGCCATGAACCTCTAGAATATCAGCTCTCTCTCCATCTTAACAGTAGTTTGATATTCTACCATCATTAGTAGTCAAGTTTACTGGAGTCATGATATAGAGATTGGAAACGTACTCAATCAAGTTGCCATCCGGATCACGCACATAAACACTCCGGATCTTCCCCACCGCACCCGTGCGTTCCACGACTTTGTTACCTTCGAGGACGTCGATCTTAGCTTCCTCGAGAGCTTTGAGAACATTATCCACTTTGGTGTCCGTCAGAAAGCAGAGGTCTGCGCTTCCTGGCATGACATTCTGGGCCTTGGGCTCGAATTCCTTCCCGCTCTCGTGCAGGTTGATTTTCTGGGACCCGAAGAGAAGGGCATGTCTAGAGAATGATATTTATCAGGGTGGTGGAAGGTAAAAATGCCTTGGGTTTCAGACTTACCGTTGAATTTCTGGACTGCTGGGTGAAGTAAAGACTTCGTGTTTCATCCCCAGGTGGCTTGTATAGAATGCGACGGATGCGGGGATGGACCGGACTGTCAAGACCAGGTGGTCCAAAGACTTGATAGCAAACTCAGCGGCCATAGTGTTGTAGAGGGTACAATCCTCGTTTCAAGCAGCTTGGAGATATGCTACGGTTGGGATGACTGGACGCACCAGATGAGTAAGTCGTGACTGCTGCGCGGGCTGTCGCAGTTTTCGCCGAGCCTTATGCTCGGCGAGTTATCCCAGGCGCCGAAGGCAACATCATTGTATAGATGTGGTGCCTCGGCTCCTATGGATCCAGCCCTTCGAAGTGTATGATGAGAGCGTGTGATGTTTTTTGGACTGCTTGGCGTGCTAGGTCTTGCATGAGCCGCAGAAGATGCAGTTACACAGCGACTCCTACTGCATCATGTCGAGTTTCGCTTGGCAGCGTATCTTGACATGAGCGACATGATTATGGCCGCCTACATGTTGAATGCCTGATAAAATAGGGTTCGATTTAGATATTTTGCTGTGAATCATTCTGTTTGACTGGTGTGTACGTCAAGTCGTGTTTGTATTGCCCTGCATTCCCCCCAACCGCTGCACTTGCTTTTTTAAAACCGAGAATATTGTATAATGCACCACCAGGGATATTGATGAGAAGGAGAAGAACAGACAATTTGATTGCTCAAAAAGTGAAGGACTTCCTTAACAGCTATTTAGTGCGACACCTGATGTCAGTTGCATAGAGCGGTACCCACTTTCGTCAGTGAGTACTTTGCACCGCGTGTTAGGCGTGCATGTATAGTGCTCACTCTACTCCGTACAGAGCTGCTATGAAGTGCAACATGTGGGTTACAACTACTATTCCATGCAGCACGTGGGGATAACACCCACCTTTGTGATGTTGCTTGTTACTTACCAAGATTGACTAGAGATACAGTCTATTCTGGGGATGGGCCTCCGAATTGATACCAAAATCCTTGCATGATGAAATAGTTCACCGTGGCTTTTATGCACATTACTGTGCACATATTCTGCAATTAGGCCACTCGTCTTGCCAACTGTCTATAGCACTCTTGCAGTAGTTGCATTAAGGCGTCCATGCCGTTCTGCAAGAAGCACGACAGTCATTGGTAGGTGTGTGGTGGAAAAGGTTCCGACACCTTCCTAATCTAGATAGCCACATATTACTAGACTCAACTCGACTACTCGAAACTAGTTTATCTGCCCGTCCCCTCTTCCTCTGGGAAGACGTTAATGGCCAGACTAAACCAGGGTTTGTTCCGCGCATGCAAGACGGCCATGTTGCACTTAATATATTGGCGTGGGGCGCGCTAAGCGGAGCCACTTTTACCAGCTGAACAACAACGATACCGTACCATATCATCCCGTTAGCTGTATCGACCAATGGGCCAATATTTACCCTAACCCGCAGCCAGGGATACAGTTTCATTAGGACTGACTTTGTCGCAGTTTTGCCGAAAGATTAATTTCACTTTCTTCCTTTGTCGCTCGGATTTTCCGAAACTTATCACTGCTGCATCCTTTACAAAAACAGGGGTGTTCCGCAGTGTGGAGGCCGAGACTCTTCCTTTGCATCCTTCCCCTCCGATTACACAAGGACTGATAGAATCATGGAGCTGGAGAAGACTGAGATTGAGCCGCGGGTGGTGGAAGCCTCGACTGGCGACAACATCGACCCGGCTTTGGAGAAGAAGCTCTTGCGCAAGCTGGACTGGAGAGTCATCCCCGCTTTATGGTTTCTGTTCTTAGTGTCCTTCATGGACAGATCGAATATCGGGTAAGAATCTCTCCTGCGCAACCAGTGTTCAATCCCAGAAGCGCTAACGATAAAACGTCTTTAGCAATGCGAAAATTGCAGGCATGAGCAAGGAATTGCACCTGGTCGGAAATGACTACAATCTAGCTGTCACAATGTTTACCGTCGCGTACGTTATTTTTGGCATGCCGGCAAATCTGCTGGTCAAAAGGTTCGGGCCGAAGATGCTGGTGCTGTATATGTTTACATGGGGTAAGATGGCTGGCGGTTACTGATAATTGTGTCTGCTAATGCGGTGTCTGCGGTAGGCCTTTTCGTGATGGGCCAGGGTCTCGTCAAGACCGCGAGCGGACTAATTGCTTGCCGCTTTTTCATGGGAATGTGTGAGGCTGGGTTTGTTCCAGGTTAGCGCAGGATACTTTTCAACTGCGATGGAGGAAGTTCGCTAATACCGACACAATTAGGCTGCGCATACTTGATAGGAAGTTACTACAAGCGCGATGAGTTCCTTCGACGATACGCCATCTTTTTTAGTGCAAATATGGCCGCAGGAGCATTCAACGGGGTCAGTAATATTTTATAAGATGTGCGGCGACACTCACTGACGCGCTCATAGCTCTTCTCGAGTCTTTTAACACCATTGAATCTGGACGGATATAAGGGATGGCGTTGGTAAGATTGGCCAGATACAGCGTTTGTCCATTTTCTTACAATCTAGGCTCTTCTTGATCGAGTCCATTATTACCGTGGGTGTCAGCCTCATCTGCTACTGGATTGTGGTCCCGTTCCCCGAAGACGCTACATTCCTGACGGCCGAGGAGAAGACATTGCTCCTTGCGCGCCTGAAGGCGGACGGCGGAAGTGTTCGCGACGACCCTATTTCATTCAAGCGCGTGATCAGCATGGCTGCCGACTGGAAAATATGGATATGGTGGGTATTCTGCGTTCTCCTATGTCGCCATCGACTAACTGAACCGTCATGATAGCGTGCTGGCCTACCTTGGGGCCGAAGAGAGCGCCAGCTCTCTCGTAAACTTCCAACCAACCATCCTGAAGGATCTTGGGTGGACTAGCCGCTCCGCTCAGGAACACACCATTCCTGTCTATGCCGTTGCCTTCGTCCTAACCCTATCCTGCGCCTGGCTGAGTGACCATTTGCGACACAGATATATATTCACTATGATTGGCTCCGTGTTGACCATTATCGGCTGGAGCGTCGAGCTTTCACATGTGCAATCTGCCGGTGTTCGGTATATGGGCATATTTTTTGTGGCGTCCGGAGCATTCATCATGATGTCTACGATTGTGGTGTGGTTATGCGTCAACCTAGGCAAAGGCGTGAAGCGCAGTGTTGGTATGGGTCTGCTTCCTGCATTCGGCAACTGCGGTGCCTTTGTGTCTGGCAATGTTTTCATCAGCAGTGAGTCGCCAAAGTATCCGACAGGATTTGGTGTTGGATTGGCCTTTGCGGTGGTGGCTGGGCTGGCGTGCACGGTGTATTTTTTCGCCTTGCAAGCGGAGAATCGCCGCAGGGACGGCCAGCCGGCCAAGGAGGAAACATCGGAGATGGCGCCGGAGGCAGATGATCTCGGGGATGCCCATCCGGATTTCCGGTTTCAATTGTAGGCTTAATTTGTGTAGGCTACCACGATCTGACTTGGACGGGGCCAAGCTCAATTGATTGGATCCACCATGGCGTGGACACTAGAATAGTATTTTGTACGGCTGTGTATAAGGATTACGCCTCAAAATCATGTAGCCAACGCTGTCATAGCACATAGTAGCCTGGGCTCTAGCTTTGAAATATGCAGCTCAAGCTAATGTTGCGTGATTGCGTTTCTTTCAATTCCCTCCACGCCGGAGTACAGAGGAGGTGTCTAACTCAATAGGAGGCAGTTATTCCTAGAACGACAATCCACGGGATTGGGCACCCATCGCCACGCACCTCCCACTGCTTCTCAAGGTACTACTATTATTAAATCAGAAATTATACTCACTGGGATTGCAATCGGTCGTCTGAAACTTGCTCATAGTCTGTACTACCTCAAGACCCGGGACCGAAATTAACCGGCGATTTCTCCGGTTTCAAGCCCCGAGCGCGCGACCGGCAGGGTTACATGTGCTAAGAACTCCAATTTAGCGAGAACAAAGAATCCGTTGAGCGCATAGATCATTCGTTGTACGCCACGGAGTATTTTGACAGGGATCATTATCTAGCGTGGCATGATATATATTGTGTCTTTATTTTAAAGCGTCGAATGGCCACTGTTCCGTTCGTGGATCATCGTATCGGGGCCGTTCCGGCCCTAAAGATACGCCACTATAAGCTGGTCTCATATATGGCCCACCGTGGTTTTATTACCATTTCCTAAGATATTAAGCAAGCTTCACTAGGTGTACGTAAATTACACACACCCACTGGGAAATTCCAGAGGCAGAGGTCTGTATGTGCATGCGAATCGTAGAGAGTATGAATATCCGGCCGAGTAGAACGGTGGATCGATGGTAAGATTGTCTCGAGACGAAAAAATCCTTCCAGGTTATGATTTTCGACGCTAACAGAACAAATGAAGGCGGCGGTATTTGGGAAACTCTCCCGGGCCTTTCCAGTGGTCACAGTAGAACGCCCGGAGCTGTATACTGGGCATAGAGTTGGATCCCCCAGACTGATGGAAGAGCTAGGCACGGGAATTAAGGATCCCTGTACCACTGGCATAACTTGCAGCAAAAGCTGTTATTAAGCTTGAGCCCAATGCTTGGTTTACTACATAGCAGTCATTTTCTGATGCAGTCGGTTGTCGTTCAAAACCCTATTAAATCCGTGTCATGGCTGGCGCTTTCAGTCCCTAACATCCACCTACGCTCGCTTCAGGTTGTCATTCGTTTATAATTCCTTTTCTTGTTTACATTAGCCATTGCTTGCTCTTATCCAGGCCACAGCAGCGTCGTCATGGCGGTTAGTCCGCTGGATGTCCCGAATAGAGGCCCTGAATTTGTCAAAGTAACCGCCGTCTTGACGTGCATTGCATTCGTCCTGGTGGTCTGTCGTCTGACATGGAAGGGCTATGTTCAAGGCAGGTTTGCTGTAGACGATGGGATCATTGCGTTTTCAATGGTAAGTCCTAAGCTCCAGTACTAGACGTTTACTCACCGAAAGCCAGGCCATGCAAATTGTCAATACTGTTATGGGTGATTTAGGTATGGCTTCCTACAACCAGATTGCGACTAATACTAAATGTATCCAGCCTGCCACTACGCCTTTGGACGGCACAAAGCCGACATTGTCAGAACAGGCGGCAACGTTGTCCTTGCCTTGAAGGTGCGAGATATGTTCTCCCAGTCAAGCACGCCCAGCTAATCTTCGGCTAGTACTTCTGGCTCTTCCAGATCTTTTACAAACTTGTGCTATGCCTTAATAAACTTTCCTTTCTCACCTTCTACCTCCGAGTTTTCCCCAATCGCATCTTCCGCATCATCTGCTGGATTACCATCGGTCTCGTCATCGCTAGTACATTTGGTTTCGTTATAGCAACCGTCTTCCAATGCACCCCCGTTCGTGCCAGCTGGTACAAGCATATCCCCAAGAAGTGCGTCCAGAATGCTCCCTTCCGTTGGTCTTGGGCGGGTTACAATACGGCAATGGATATTTGGGTGTGTTTACTGCCGCTGCCGGTATTAGCGCAGCTACAGCTTGATCGAATCAGAAAGATTGGAGTCATGTTGGTGTTCTGTATGGGGCTTTTTGTGTGTGTGACGAGTATCATTCGCATGTGGGCGATGGAGAAGAGCACGACAACGACGGACCCAACCTGGGGGTCGTTTGATGCGTTGCTATGGAGTGCCATCGAGGCTAGTACGGGAATCATCTGCGCTTGCTTGCCGTTCCTGAAACATCCCATTCAGAAGGTCCTGCCTGGTCTGTTTGGTTCATTGTCAAATGGGTCCAGAAAGAGTCGGAGTCGGACGAGGCCGAGCTATCGGATGAGTCGATTGGGGTCCCGGTCGGGGAATGGCACGCGGAATGTTGATGCTGATATTTGCGGAGATGAAGATGATTCAGAGAGCGTCGGAAGCCAGAGGCCGATTGCGAAGAACCAGATCATCGTCAAGACGGGCATTTCCATGCACAGTGAAGCGGCATATCCATGAGGCTTGCTGGTCACAGGCAATGAACCGGAGTGCTGGTATTGACACGTCCGAGCCCTTATACCCACACAAGCACATAATTGCATTCGTCTTTGCCATCCCTCAGGCCATTGGTTTCACCCTTATTAGCTTCATCTAAGGCTGACCCTTACTCTTGGCACCGGTTCAGCTGCAGCCACAGTTCATTCTCTGGTCCGGAGCTTGTCCGGAGGTTGTCCGGCGCTCCGTTAGTGGGGACTTGGCCTGCCACCCGGCCGCCCGTAGCGCCCATTAGCCCTGGATGCTTATATTGACGGGTCGATGGTCGGCGCCAAGAGGCCTCCTAGCTAGTGGAGAGTTCCATCTAGCTGCGTATTGACTTTAGTGTAATACATATCAATACACGACCTCTCCTCGTTGACATGGGTGGATATGCATTAATCCATCAAGTGGTAGCATAAAGAGGAGGGGCTAACTAAAAATTTGCATCTCCCTGCATACCATTACTTCTAATCGCAAAATGTCACAAGAAACTACAATTGAGACTGCTTCCCATACTGTGGCGGATGCCTTTTTAGAGGCTCTGGGCGAGGTAAACTACCTTCAGCTGTCTCATAGACCTCCTCTCACGTTGATAGGCTGGCATCGACTACCTTTTCACAGTGCTTGGCTCGGATCATCCTAGCATCATCGAGGCCTATGTCCGCCGTCAAAATGACCCTGCCAGGCAGTACCCCAAGATGGTACTCTTCCAACACGAGGTATGTTAGACACATCTCCAATGATAGCGGTGGTGCTGATCGCCCAAGTTCGTGGCCATGTCCGCCGCCGATGGATATGCCCGAATGAGCCACAAACCGGCCTGTGTGATCGCCCACGTGGACGTGGGGACTGCAGCGCTCGGTCAAGGCCTGCACAATGCATCTAGCGGACGCGCCCCGGTGGTGATATTCGCCGGTGTCGCTCCATCCACCCTGCTGGGCGAAGCTCCGGGTTCGCGCTCGGAGCACGTCCAATGGTACCAGGACATTCGCGACCAGGCCGCCCTCGTGGCACCCTACAGTCGCTTTAGCGCAGAGATCAAGTCACCGCATAATGTTGGTAGCCTGGTGCATCGCGCCGTTCTCATGGCCACTACTGGCTCCCCTGGCCCAGTGTACCTCACAGCCACACGCGAAATCCTTGCCACACCTATCCCTAGCCCGCAAACCCGCCTCAAGCCTGTCCCTTCTTGTCAGCTGGGCTCTCTATCCCCGCAAGCGGTGGAGCTCATTGGCAGTGCGCTGCTCAATGCAAAGTCACCACTAGTAGTGACCGGATACCTGGGCCGGAACCACAGCGCCGTTCAGGAACTGATCAAACTGGCCGACACCATCCACGGCCTGCGGGTATTCGACTCCGAGATTCGTGAAGTATGCTTCCCAGCTACGCACCCAGCCAGCGTAACGAGAGGAACCGGCGCCGCACCAGCTGTGCAAACCGCAGACGTTATCCTCGTCCTCGACGCCGACGTCCCCTGGATTCCCCGACGCATCCATCCCTCCTCCGAGGCAATTATCTTCCACATCGACCTTGACCCACGCAAAGAGCGTATGAACATGTTCGACACTGGCGCCGCAGCCACCTTCCATGCCGATACGGGGCTAGCACTAACCCAGCTCAACGCACACATCACCTCCTCGTACTCTCTCACTGATCTCCAAACCAGCTGGACTGATCGTCGTGAGGCCCTGCGCACAGCTCACGCCGAAGGTCGCGCCCGCATTGACGCCCGAGCAACTAAGCTTCTCGAGACACCTGATGCACCCTGCAGCGTGGACTTCCTCTGCAGTCGAATTCGTGAACTTGTACCCAACGATACCATCTTCGTCACCGACTCCGTTACCAATCAAGTCGCCATGACCGAGCAGCTACAATTAACCCGCCCAGGCTCTCATCTGACAAAAGGAGGCAGTGGTCTCGGCTGGGCCGGAGGTGCCTCCATCGGCGTGAAGCTAGCCACAACACGGTACGATATCTCTAATCGTCCAGATGTTCGCGTGAAATCTAATCCGAGTTCACCTTTCATCTGTAACATCACCGGCGACGGGAGTTTTATCTTCTCTGTCCCGTCGGCAGTGTACTGGGCTAGCCATAGATATGGTTGTCCGTTCCTGACTGTGATACTGAATAACGGTGGGTGGAATGCGACGAGGCAGTGTCTGGTGGATGTGCATCCCGGCGGTGAGGCGGCCAGCTTGTCGAGTAAGGAGTTAGGGATCTCGTTGGTGGAGGATGGGCCGGATTATGGAGGAATTGCAAAGGCGGCTGCCAATGGTAATTTATGGGCGACGAGAGTAAGGAGTGTAAAGGAGCTGGATGAGGCGTTGAGGGAGGGGGTTAGGGTTGTGGTTGAGCAGGGGAGGGGGGCGGTGGTGGATGTGGTGGTGCAGTGAATCAGGAACAGAAACAGTTTTATTCATATCATTTGTTGGAAAGGTTATAAGATCCATCTGGTCTGTATCCGAATAGGCAATTCCACTTGAGGCGATAGTACTTTCTCTTCAACTAAGTAGGCCGCAGCAAGAGGCTGTTCAGTGCATCTTTTTAGTTGAGGTATTTCACTGACTACATACATGATACACCTCACCACATACTTAGAACAGACGCGTAGAAAGTAATTTCAGTTCAGTCAACTGCGCTGCGATAACAATCCTCTCTAATTCTAACATATACAAAGTAGCCCCTCAATTCACCAATCACATCATCCAGGTCACGTGCCTTACCCACCATCTAACCGCAATCTTTATCATCACAAACCCATCCCTCAAACACTCACGAACACACATATTATCCTCCCCATATAGAAAGGAGAATGCCCCCAACAACACAACAAGTCCGCCCTGGCGCAGGCGTTCACATCGTCCTGAAAAAGGACCAACCGACCGGCCGCACAGTCAGCGGCACTGTCGGTGAAATATTGACACGGGGTAATCATCCGAGGGGAATTAAAGTCCGCTTAACGGATGGGAGAGTGGGTAGAGTGCAGGCTATGAATACCAATCTTAGCTCTAACTCTAACCTTGGTGGTATGGAAGGTATGGGTGTCGAGCAAGGCGAAGTGGAACAGGGAAGTTCTTGGGGAGATAGAGGTGGGCGGAGAGGTGGTAGGAGGGGTGGAGGTAGGAGGTATCAGGGAGGAGGAGATGAGGGAGAGGTGCCGGCGGAGAGTGTGGGGCTGGATGCGTATGTTACTCCTGGGTATGGGGGGAGGCAGAGGGGGAATAAGGGGAGAGGGAGGGGGAGGGCTGCTGATGGGGCTGTGGATGATGTTGATGAGGTGGTGGTTCCTGGTGTGGAAGGGGTAGGTAGTATGGATGCAGGGGTTATTCGGTGCCCGGTTTGTGACGTGTTTGAGGGCGATGAGGCTGCTGTTGCGCACCATGTTGCGGAGCACTTTGATTGAGATATTCTGGATGACTTCGTGGACTATCTCGTGTTGGTCATGAATATGAGATGGATGATCTAGATGGGTTCATATCCGTTCCGTACCTGGCTATCTGAATTTCGCGACAGAATATCACTTTGCTAGGTGTCTAATTTAGATTGGCGAGAGCTTGTGCAGCACGGAGACTATGGACAACGCCTAACCCACCACAGGGAAAAGGGACAAAAGAGCCGCATATGACGCGACTTCCAGACAAGTGCCACGTCGCAGGTGTGAAACCGATATCGACAAAAGAGAACCCCTGAAGTGCACCACCGTCTCTAATCATTTGTCAGGCGCGTGACGTCACGTCATATTACAAATGGCGACATGCACCACAGCAGAAGCCCCTATCAGACACAAGCACATCTGTGCGTGCAATTCGACACACCGCAATACATAAGTTGCTCCGATGATCTTCACCCCCTCCTGTACCCGAAGTGGGACCCTGTTGAACGCTGCAAATATCTCCCCAACACGTCTGCCGCGCTGCTGCTGCCGTCGCCCTGGATTCGCCGGCGTAGAGACCAACGTCTCACAGACGGACGGCAATAGACTGGTCTGAACGAGAACCAACGCTATAAACGAAGGAAAAAGAAGCAAGAACTGTGCGGCGAGCATGACTCCTGACACTAAGATCTCGAATCCCACGATGCCCGACAAGTGCGCTTTCGTGATATCTGTGCTAGCGGATGAGGCGAGGTCGCTTTGGAATAGGGCAGGCAAATGCATCATGAATGATTCAGCCACCGCATGTAGTGCTGTGGCCGGCACCAAAGCTTTCCATCGTTGGCGATCGCGAGAGTTCGGCACAAAGCGTTGCTGGTCACGCGGAAGTATGGTGCGCGCGGTCCACAAGAAACGATCTTCAGCGAGCAGCACCGAGGCTACGACGTACGCGACCGGACGAGGAAGGAATAATGCTCTGATCAACATTACCTTCGTGCACAAGTGCTTTGCCCAGTAGCTACATGCGGAGCCAATTCCATTCAGCAGGAGACGGAGATTGCCCGTGCGGTAGAGGGTGGCGATGGTTTGGAATAGTTGACGGCTGGATGGACCAGCTTTTTTGTCTCTGAGCTCAGAAACAGAGCCGAGAGCTTGCTTCTCCACACTTTCAAATATCAGAATAGACATCAAGACATGTCCAACAATATACCGGACCTGAAGTATATCAATATGCCATTCTTTTGTGTGATTTTTCAATTTCAAGACTTACCAGGCCATTCATAAACATCTTGAAAAAGATAGGCACCACCAGTAATACATTGTTGGAATGTGTAGGTTCATTTCGCCATATTGCATGAACTTGTGCAAGTAGCGGATGGCCTCCAGCGGAATGGATTAAGGTATTGAGCAGAATACGAAAGAGACTTAACAAGAAGTGTGGGGATGGACCGTATACCATCATGCTGTTAACAAAACGTCTACAAAGAGATAAATCGCAATCGAAAACAGCAGGATGAGCGGAAGATGAAGCTTATGCGTTGCAAGGCTTAGGGTAAAAGTGGAAAGCACCAGTTCCCTTGATCAATAGATTCAAACTACTTAGACTAGGCAGAAGCGCAAACCGCCAATAGAACCCGGTGGTCAGTGGAGCTGAGGGCGAGACCCTTCGTAAGGGTGGGGCTTATCTAGCTACTGTGACCCCTTATGGGACCCTGAATAGACCCTTATTGGATCTTGGTGTGAGACATGCTTGCTTGTAAGACGGATGGGCAGGTAGTAGTTTAGCATACACGTGGCTTCAACATCATATCATCCTATTTGACACAATGAAACAATATGCCGATATGGCCACGGTGTCTTGTCCGCGCATGCTCTTCAAGATAGTACTGTGACTTGGATATTCATGTGCTTGATTCTAAAGAGATAATTTTTGAATGCAGAGTGCAGGGGCCATACCCAGCTTGATTGAACTTAGTGCTGACGGAAACCTCCGTTAGGGCGTGCTGGACGACCCCATGTCCATCACCCCAGTTGAGATAAAGTAAGGATATGAACTGTAATAAACAGTGTCAAGGATTTTGACACCTCTTACATTTGTCTTATTGGGCATCCTCACTTCTAAACATCCACTATTGGGTGAACCAAGAGTGATTCATATACCTCCAGCTACTAACATTCTATAGTCCGTCCTCATGACTGATATATATAACCTTGGCCCCAATCTCACTAGGAGCGAACTCGGCCAACGCCCGCTCCCTCAAGTTAGCACCAAACAACATCAATACAACCACGAACCCAAATGCAAAAATGGAAAAGAAGGCCATCATTCCATATACCCAACCAAAGCCCACCCGGGCAACCCACTGGTTGATGAAGAACGGCACAACCAACCCCAGAGTGAGACGATACGCGCCCATGAACGCACCCACCTCAGTGGGCTGTGAAGCGACGCATTCGATCATATAGGTTACAGCGACGGGAACAGAGCTCATCGAAGCAAAGGTGATGAGATAGGCACCTAAGGCGAGGACCATGTAGTGTAGATGGTATTGTAGAGCGGAGCCGACGATGCCGAGGCCGATGGGAAGAACTATGAGCGATGGGATCCAGAGGGCATGTAGCCGACACTCGGGCTTCCATACACCCTTTTCGCGTGTGCGGCAGATCCAGAGAGTGATGCGGTCATTGCAGAGGTAGCCCCATAGTTCGGCTGTCAGGAGTCCGACCCAAAGGGAGAAGATGACTTTGGGGGTTAGCCTTTCGTGTAATCGAGAGGAAGAGGAAGACGTACAGAGGGCGTTCCGTTGAGGACTGAATCCCCACCCGCCGACAGAGACGGGTTTCTCCAGCCACACAGTCAACAGGCTGTGCGTTGCGACGAACCAGCCGAATGATGCTAATTGGAAGATACCAATAAGAAGGCCAACGGGTGAGAGACCGATGCGGAAAGGTAGGCGAGCGATGCGACCCTGCATCTTGAGTCAAAAATTGTTTGATAGGGGGAAGAGATCAGGCCTACCAGTTCTGCGCGGGATATCCCCGTCTTATGAGGAAGCAGGGTCGCCATCCGATTAGCCCAGAAGTTCTGAGGCTTGACGGCGGATAATGTCTTCCCGTCACGAGAGTAGCTGGTCTCCTCCAGGAAAAGGAACACTACAATGTAATAAGATAGATGCCCACCTATTATTCACTTCAGGGCTATACACCTACCAAGAATCAGAACGACTCCCTGTGCGATGACGATCCACCAAAACACCCACGGCCAATCGGTATGTTGGACGATGAATCCCCCAAAGGTCGGGCCCGCAACAGTACCAAACAGAAAGGAGACATGAAAGATGGCATATACCTTGCCACGCTCGTGCAGAAAGAACATGTCATAGACCGCTCCCACGCCAACGATAGATGGAATTGAACCAAAAATGCCGTCAAAGAGACGCGATGCAACGAAACGCTCATAGTCTCCTTTACTTGTCATGCAAGCAGACCAAATCGCACAGGCCATGGCAAACACAAGGCACCAGAATATGATGGCAGTGCGACCAAGGGCCTGCGCCACGGGATTAATCATCAATGGCCCATAGGCAATACCTGCAATTGAGGCAGATATAGTGTACGTGATGTCTGTAAGTTCCTTGTTCCAATTCTTTGCCTGGTCCTTCATAGCAAGTTGGTTAGCGAGATCTAATGCGGTCCCCGCGAACCCTGCCAAGCAGAGAATAGTCAGGTTTCCTAGCTTCCTTCCTCTGGCCCAATTCTGGTGAACAGTCAGTATTAAATGGGGACCGGATTAATGATGGAAGGAGATAGACAACATGCCAATGGGTCTTCAGGATCCTGGGATGGTTGAGGAACTAAGATGATGCCGTCTTTTGTCCGTAGGCCGTCACTTGATAGGTCGAAGGATTTAAACGCCGCATGATCCTTGGTATCCAAAGCATTAGATGAGTCATATGTAGGCATAATCGGTTTTCTGAGCTCTCGGCACAGGTGTGGAAGATATTGTTATTGACAACAGGGATTGCGACCGCGAACGCGCAAGAGAGTTTGGGAAAAGCAAAACTTCCGACGGCAATTTGTCAGGGGGTAATGTGCTCACTATATGCTAGATCCTGTGGAACGAACGGCGCCCTTTTTGTGGGACATGCTAAGTTCTAGGCCATCCTGATTGCTGGACTAGACCGGGGTTGTCCCGAATGCCTGCATCCGCCAGCATCTCCGTCCTACGATGGCGTCTCAGAGTGACCAGGGTTTTTTTTATGAGGCATTCCTTAACACCCTCCTTGAATATAATATAGCCTTAGTTAGTTATAAATATTTCATCTAGCAATGTCTGACAGAGACAAAGAGTGAAAAGTTCTGCCATGCCAAGCACACGATGGGGCTGACCTTGACGGGCACGTACAACACCAGACAGCTAGAGATTGTCATCATCAACAGCATTCTCGTTGTAATGTCAATTTCAGCAGTTTTTCTGAGAGTCTGGGCACGCAGATTACAAGGCCTGACACTGTTCTTAGAAGACTACCTGAGTATTGTCGCTCTGGTAAGATATTCGCTCGTTCCTTCCTGCGAAGATACGCTAATGTGATCAAAGGCTTTGGCTCTTGCAGTTAATGCACTTCTCTTCCAGAGTGATTGGTCCTCCTAGTCAAAAACTTTCAAGACATGCTCGCTAACAGAGAATTGAAGGTCTTCACGCCGGCGTTGGGGAACATGTCGATACGCTTTCCGCTGCTACTGTTCAGGAATACTCCTTGGTATTTGCATTTATTTCCCGAAAGAATGGAGGGATAGAACTGATGCTGACCACAAATCCTGGGGGATAGAACCTCTATGTGATGCAGCTCTTCTGGGATACATGCCTTCCGGTCATTAAGCTGTCTATCGTCTTATTCTACCAGCGCATTTTTCCAGTGCCTTCCATGATATTTGCTTGCCGCGCGGTCATGTTGTTTTTGGCTGCGTGGTACGTTGCATTTCAAACAGCCGCCATCTTCCAATGTATCCCAATACATCACGAGTGGCAGAAGAAGACCACTACGGGGCACTGCATAGATTTTGTCCCTTTTGTGATCACACTAGCTGCGACCAACTTGTGCACCGATGTCCTTTTGTTGGTTTTGCCTACACGTGAGATCTGGAAGCTCCAAATCCCCTGGCCTAGGAAGATCGGTTTGTCTATTATATTTACTCTGGGTGTCATGTACGTTGTCTGTAGCGCAGTCTTCCAGAAACTCAACGGTCTGACCATCATGTTTGCTAGTGTCTGCGCCATCTCAATTGTCCGTCTCGAAAACCTGATTGCAATCAGTGATTCGAATATCACTTGTATGATTTCTATTGCTTGTCACTCGTTGCGAGATTTACTAATTGAATTCGGTTCGGTAGGGTCAGATACGTACTCCCACCTTTGGACTGCGATCGAGAGCAGCCTCGGGGTGGTGGTATCCTGCCTGCCCAGCTTGATGCCAATTGTGCGCCTAGTCAGGGACAGAAACTTGCGGGGTAGTGGAAAATCTTTTAGTCGCCCAGAGGATGGCTCATCATCCTACCCCAGTTACGTGCGACTGCCGTACGAGCTGTCAAAGCTGTCAAATCGTGTTACCTCGGGAGAGAGTCGGACAAGACATCGGTCAGGAAGTAGTCGCTCAGACTTAATCCAAAAGGCTGTTGGGGATATTGAGATCGTCACTGAGATTAATCAACAGGTGGAGTCGGCCAGTCAATGTGGCTTCGAGACTTAGCCTACATCTAGTGGCCCGATCGGCCGCTCAACCCTTGCCAGCTCTTTTCATGAGCCTTGGCCCCAAGCATTTCTTATTTGAGGTTATACACCAAAGGAACATTCGCTCCGAAATTTCATAAGTCGGAAGATTACTTTGAAGAATAGACAGTGGGTATTGCTTATCAATCGACGATGATGTTAGCATTTCCTGTCACTTGGTCTCATTTCGTCCTAAATGCATGGCCGACCGTGGCTGCAGTGTTCTCATCGTCGCGGAGGATGATAGGCTGATATATACGTACGCCGCTGATGCAGTTCCCTGCTAGGATAACTCTTAGCGGCATCGCTAATTCCTCTCCTGGTCTCGCGACGAGTCAGGGTCACCGGTACGCGTACCCCGCTTGACAAAATATAATCGCTTGTGAGTTCGAATAGACTATCATTACTCCTGGGATTTCGGATCAATCTTTTAGCAACGTCTTTGCGACACTCTGTAGGAAATATCATAGATCATCTCAATAAGCTTTGGGGCACCCTTGGCAGGCTTGGGGGACGGCGGGGGAACGGGGGAGCCCGACCCGGTGTGCTTAGCAAGCTCACTACCACATCCTAGCGTAAACACTAGGAGTTCTGACCACCAAAGTACCCTCAGCTCCCGAGGGCTAGATAGTAGCCATCCGGAAGCAGCTTACCCCTTCTTCTAGCCCGCGTTGCCGTTCTGTCATGTCAAA